ACGGTACTGAGGGCCCCGGGAGGCTTTGGGGATTACTTTAAAAGGGATGGTCTGGATTCGGTCCCGCAATTTTAGGGCCCCAAAACCAAAACACATTACAGAGGGTCACCCAAACATTGGCCATGTCCTGAATAAAGGGCAGCGAAAACACTTTAAAGAGGGTCCCAATATTAAAAGCAGTGCAACATTATCTAAGACAATGGAACACGAAATGGAACAATTGGGATTAAGATTATATTATAGGTTATATTACCCAATAGTGGGAAACCAAATAAAAAAAAAAAGAAAATGGACAATTATCATGAACACTGCGGTTATGCAGGAGAAGAGGCATGAGACTTCCGCATCTCCACGGGATATCCGACCGAAATGCGCTTGCAGTGTCATGTGCCGGGCTCAGACATGAACATTTCCCCGAACACGCTGCATCATCCATGAGGAAGACGTCTGTATTCCCTAAACCCTAAGCTTTAACCTTAAATCTCTATATTCTCCTCATAGCCCTATGTTATCCTGAAATTGCCTGTTTTCAGAACCACTGTGGAAGAAAACGGCTTCCTGAAGCTCCTAAGTCCTGGATTCAGGTCACCTAGCTTCAAGGGCGAAAGCTTAACATAGAAGACCGAATCTTGAGCAATGTTGTTCAGGAGGTATAGGGTTTAGGCTTCATGTTGTCTAGGATCGAGGGTTTAGGTTTCTCTTGTATTTGGCGCGGTATGCCAAGGGCGATTTTTCATAAATTGAGGAGCTCGTCTGAGTATCCCGAGTACTAAATCCGGACCTTCAAAGCCCTATGCACCCCAAGTCCTACCCCCTGAAACCCAAAATCTCAATGCTCAAACCCTACACGACCCGCAAATAAATGCCCCATCTGAGGTGAATTGATTTGCGCAGCAAAGTCGCGATCCAAAATAAATGTGAGATGAATTAGGAGGACCCCCCACCCTGTAATAGTGGTATAATAGGAATATAATAGGACCCTAACATACTCCTCATTATCCCTTATAGCCACTATTACAGCGTGGGGGGTCTACCTAAGAGATGCAGTGTTCTCAAGTGATGGGTCCATGTTTGGCAGGGTCTATTGGTGGGTCTATGTTTCGTTCTAGAATGTGGGTTAACGTCTAGAATTTCTCACAATGGCAAATCCATGTCGCCATTATATAGAAGCGAGAGTCTCCAGAAGGGTGCTACAGAGGATCTGGAAACGAAGTTTGCGGCAGAATTGAAGGGCATGTACGCATGCAGAACGACAAGAGTGGTGACATCCGTAAGTAATAGTCTCCCCGTTGATAACAAAATCCCCGACCCGCGATATTATGGTAAATATGCTGGATCTAGCACCATTATGTATCAACATGCCGATCAAGCTGAACGGCCTTTCCTTCAAGGAGACCAGCCTTTGGATGGCCTAGATAACCGCCTTGATAGGCCCGTTTGCTCCTTTCGCGGTTGTAGCTCTTTTGGCTTGCAGGCGATGCTTGCCACGGAACATTCACAAATCTGCACAGGACCCAGCTGCATGCGTTCATGTGCCGGAAAAACTGCAGCTTTTTCAAGCACAAACTTTGCAACTCCTCAACATAGACATGTATAAGACCCTAACATCACTGACGATTTTGGCTAAACAACATAAGGGAGTGCGATCTCAAAATCATCCCTATATTCAATACTCCCTTATTCCCTACCAAATCCCAGCAACAGTTGATACACAAGTCCACAAGGCATCGAAGGGATTATTCAAAAGATTCTTGTAGAGACCACGATGCGGTCGGCTTCCAGATCCCGACATGCTCGCAGGCCAGGTCCCTACCCGGTAACAGTGGTAATAGTCCCCCTTAAGTAGATAGAATATTAGAGTTATATTGGGGTTATTTAGGGATAATGGAAAAGAAAATGGAGACTGCTATTTAGGGTTTAGGGTTT